TAAAAAGGTGATGTTTACAGCAAACCCCTATAAAGCATCAAAGATTGAGTGTTCAAAACTAAAATTCTTCCAGGTTACATGGATTCTCCTACCTTCACAAACTTTATAGCTGTGAACAAAACACTTCTTAAGCTCAATAAAGATTTCCAAAGCAGTAAACAGTACTAACAAACATTATTCCAAAGACACTGTTGGTGCTCTCCTAAGATTTTATACCCATTTCTCTATCTAATAGTGTATATAAATTCATCTATTTACTTTTGGTAAATAGATGGAAGCCAATAATGGGGAAACCAGTCAGTTAATGCCAATCAACCTTCATTCCAATGAGCAATTAAATACAACTTACTTACAGGGCACGAGTTCACAAAAAAAAAAATAATACTAGTTCGAGCACCTCTAATATGCACATCAAACTAAGCATTGCCGAGGTTTTTAATTCTGTCAACCAAAATTTCATCTAAGCTACTCTTGAACCCATTAATAAAGACTGCCTCTAATCCAATTGCTTTAATTCTGTCAAGAAGACTGCCTCTATTCCAATTCTTTTAACATCACCATTGATTATATATCTAATCTTTTTGACAAAGCAATTTTTAATCAGAAGTTTCAAGCTTTAGAAAATCCGCACACAATTTATCCCATCTTCTATTTTCTAATGATCTCCTAAAATTTGCAGAAGTTACTAAGGGGAACATTGCCATCCTAAAGTATAGCCTATAAGAAATTAACCATTGTTACAAGATTTCATATCAATTTACAATAAAGAATTAAAAGTTGCTAAAAAGAACAGATATTCTGTCTTCTAGGCTCAATGTTCAATCTATTGAGCTTCCATTCACCTTCTTTAGTGTGTGTCTTTTCTTCTAATTAAATCTCCCAAAGCTTGTGCCGACTGTTCCAAGATAAATTTAAAAAAGAAGCATAAAGCCTAGAAAAGGAAGCTTCTTTCTAAAACTAGGAGAGTTGACTAGTGAAATCAATCCTTGCTATGAGCTCCTCAAGTAGATTTAGATATATGTTCAAAAGAAAATTTTATTTTTGGAATGACCTAGAAGAAGAAGAATTAATACAAAAGATACCTCTTGATGAAAAAAATTTTAGTGGAGGAGATTTAAATTGACACGGTTGTAAAGTGGAAGAATATTTTAAAAATATTCATGATGGCTACGTTTTTAGAGCGATTAATGAAAAATATATAATCACATTAGATTTTGATTCAACTTATGATTTTTTTATTGTTAATATTTTATTTAAAAAAAAAGAGAAGAGCATATTATTACTAATAAGAATACATCTAATAAAATACAAATTGATTATTTTTTTATGAAAAAAATATATTGTAGAGAATGTAAGAATTGTACAAGTCATTTCAATTGAAAATTTAAATACTCAACATTGATTATTAATTTTAGATTTTAAGATGAAGAATTGAAAAATACAAAATATAATGATACATTGTCATAGAATTTAATGAAGGATCTTAAAAGACAAAAAAAAATTATGAGCAAACTTTAAGATTTTAATATTTATAATGTTCATGAAGAAGTCAAATCTATGCGAGATAAAGTAACAAGCACAATTAAACAAGTAGAGAAAAATGTACTTTGAGAATCAAAAGAAATAGTTTAGTAGTTGATGATTGAATAATAATGAGCAAAATATTAAAAATTTCATTATAAAAATTAATTTAAAAATTTAGAAAATCGGGAAAAATATAAAGTGGGTTGTAAGGAGTCTAAGAGAACTATTTATGACGCTAAGAATTTTATTTTTAACAAGTTTTATAATAGATTAGGTACAAAAAAGAGCGAAATATATATGTATAAAGAAGTCAAACACAGAAAAAACTAAAGCATTAATTCAAGTGTATTATAGATGAAAATCAAAAATTACTTTTCTTAGACGAAGATATTCAATATAAGTGGGTGAGATATTTGATGAACTTTTAAATAAAGCTTTTAAAAATACGTTCTACTTTAGTGATCTTAATATCGTTAATTATAATTTTTTTAATATTCGCACAAGTACAAATAAGTTGAGAAGGCTTTAAAGAAAATCAAAGATGAAAAATCAATGGGACCAAATATTATCCCAATAGAAGAGTAAAAATATTTAAGAGATTTAGGAAATTCTTGTTTAAATAAACTTTTTAATATTATTTTAAAAACTAAAAATGCTTGAGAAATAGAGGAAGAATATTTTGGTCCACATTTTTAAGAATAAAGGGATGCACAAGAGTGTGCAAATCATAGAGGAATTAAGTTAATGTGTCATACATTAAAATTATGGGAGAAAATAATTGAATATAGGTTAAGATATGATACAAAGATTTCTCATAGTCATTTTGGATTTATGATGGGCAAGTCTACCATGGAAACTATATATATATTGAGAGGTTTGATGGAGAAGTACAGAGAGAGAGTGAGGAGAATATATATATGATTTTTACTGATTTAGAAAAAGCTTGCGATAAAGTTCCAAGAGAAGTTCTTTGAAAAGTTCTAGAAAAGAAAGTTGTTGATATGACTTATATTCAAGTCATTAACTTGTGTTCAAACAAAAAGAAGATTGACCAAGTATTTTCCTATTTTAATTGGATTAGATCAGGGATCGGCTTTAAGTCCATATCTTTTTGCTTTAGTTGTAGATGTTCTTACTGGACATTTATAGAATGATGTACCATGGTGTATGCTTTTCGCAAAAGATATCTTTCTTGTGAATAAATCTAGAGAAAGACTTTAGAAAAAACTAAAGTATGGAGGTCTATTTGAGTCTAGATGCCTTCGTTTGAGTAGATTTAAAATTGAATACATGGAATATAATTTTAGTAGTAGTAGATCTAGTGGCAGAGTTGTACCAATAGGTGATCAAATCATTAAAAGGAGTGAACAGTTTAGATATCTTGGGTCTATTGTTCAAAGTGAAGGTGATATGGATGGGAATGTTATTAGTAGAATTCAAGTTGGATGGTTGAAGTGATGGGCCTATTGTGTGATAGAAAAGTACCGCATAGACTAAAGGAAAATTTTATAAGATTATCGTGAGAACTACAATGTTTTATGGTGCAGAAAGAATAAAACTAAGTTAAGTTTTGTTGAGATGAAAATGCTTATGTAGATGAGTGGCTTTATACTTAGAGGACAATGCAAAACGAATATATCCGTGAAATGGTTGGTTTAGCACCAGTGGAAGACAAGATTATAGAGAGTCTTCTTAGATGGTTTTTAAACATCAGCCATCTCATGATTTAGTTAGGAGAATGGATGTTTTATATTTGACATATGTTAAAAAAGGTAGAGGTATAACTAATAAGGCATAGGCTTGTTGTATAAAAATAATCTTAATTTATGAGAGTTAAATGAAAATAAGACACTCAAAAGAGTTCATGTAGCCTACCCCACTTAGTATGATAAAGGCTTGTTGTTGTTGTTGTTACTGTTGTTGTTGTTGTATTAACAATATTATGGTCCATATATAATATTCATTATTTTGAGAAACATACGTAAAAAGAGGGAAACTTAGGCTTTCATTATATCACAACATGTAATGCCACTGCTCCAATTTTGTTGAAAAATCATAAATCAAAATGACATGGAATAAATGGATGAACTAGAAATATCTAAATGATAACATCTATGGAAATACCCTACATCAATCTCCCAATATATGATTTTCAAAGTGTTACTTCATTTAAAAAATCTTATTGAAAGAAAGGATTTTGCTTCAATTTGAGACTCCACGAAACTAGTCTTACTTTTAAACCCATGGATCAATGAAAAAATTAATAGAATAGAATATGGCCTTGGAGCCCTAAGTCAATCTACATTGAAAAAAAAATAAATCCATGATTGGTACCTACCAACTACCACTCCACAAGCAGTGACTCATCTTTGGCCTTCTATAAAAGAGATTGTTATACATTATATTAATGAAATGTTATGGAAGCAGATTCCAATGAAATCTTCATCCAAGTCTCTTTGTCATGGCGATTATGCCTCCAAAAATGCAGTGATATTATGGATGATGCTAATAGAAAAGATCAATACTAAAGACATAGTATAAATATATAATATTGTAATATATGATACTTGAATCTATTACCCTCACCCTCTCTCCCTTGCCTAAAACGAAATAAATACTAATTCTTTAGTTGTGGTTTCAGTATATTTATAGTGATTTGTGATGATGTTAATTGGGTATTTTTTAAAACTACTTTGTTGACAATGTGACCAACATAATCAATAGAATTTAAGAGAGCAAAGGATTGAAGGAAAAAATGAATCAAATTGATCAATAAAATTACCATTGATGCAATGTATGTCCAACCATTTAGAGGATGCTATGAAGGTGATCATTGAAAATTTGACAGTTCTTGAGTTAAACGGGTCTCTGATTTCCATTGATCTAGGTTCATTAGTCTTGCCATACAAATCGACACAGATTTTAGTGCATTTGGAGAATTTTAATTATTCAGCTACTTTTCCTGCTCCAAATAAGCTTGTACAGGAGCCTATTTGTTTGATTGGATGGATTTCTCTCTTTCTTCCTTCTAGCAAAATTGCATGCGGGATTGTATTGAATAATTTTTCTTTTACTCTCGGGTGCTTCCCTTGCATTCGTGTAATAAAAAAAAGTAAAAAGCAATGACTAATGAAAAGACCAAGTAATAAAAATATTGGCACAATATCAAAAGTCAAAGAGGTCAGGGGATAACAAAAATGCAAAATAACCTATTTGAAAATTGTCAGTACTTTAGAAAATTAATTTGAATTAATCTTGGAAGATGAGTCTATTCCTTCAAACAACTTCAACTATTCTTCGTAAAAAGGAAGAAAAATACTTCATGAATCCTGTGGCGAAATGTATAAAATTACTATTCCAACTTTTAAAATGGAATATGTAAATATTTGTAGCTTTCAAAGTTTTTAATGTGGAAATAAAAATTCAAAAATAAACCATTACAATCATAGTTTCTCAGCTTGTAAATAAGAAAATACCTGCAGTCGTAATTTCTGCTCTTTGTATCGATTATCCTTAATGGAGCTATATAGATCATCAACCTTCTTCCTTTCAACAATAAAGTCAAGAACGTACTCAACATGAGATACTTTATGCCGTACAATCCAAATTCCATCTCCGATGGGCAAGCGCCTGACCTGCGTTTAAATGCCATAAGTTATGGAGATGTTGTAGGCCAGTACACCACAGAAAAATATTATTTTTTCAATTATTTAGGGGTTAAGGGTAGTTGGTCATTGACTCACTTGTTGAGTAGTAACTAAATGTAACAACCAAAATTGTCGACGATGGTAAGAGTACTAGGGTTCCAAAATGTATGAGCAAAAAGAGAAACAAAAGAAGCAACAAAAGAGAATGATTTAAGAATACTAAAAAATGAACTACAATGAATACATCTAATACAAAAAAGTTCAAATTTGGATGCTCGTTACTTGACTTTTTCTCCTAAAATTGATATTTTACAGAAAAGAAATGAACTTGGGTAAGCTAGTTTAGTCTATGTAGCATATGTTTCAAATAATCCATCTTTCTTTAAATAAGAACTATCCAGTCTATTAAGATTTTATCAAAGTTACTTGGAACATGCAAGTGAAAATTGAAAGATGTGCAAGCGTTTCAAAGTAAAAGCAACAGAACATGCACGTAGTTCCTGTCATTTCACTTATGATTTCCCATTATCAGATATGCAACCAAAACTGTTATGTATAAGAGATGTTTCAAGATATTCCTATCCTTACGGAATTATATTGAGGATGGCTACAAAAGCTTTTAGAACAGACCTGTTAACTTCTGCATCTATGAATGGCACAAGGGCGACAAAATTATAAAATAAGTCTCCCAACAAGCAAAATTATCTCGGTGGATGCACAGGGAATAGCAGAAGGGGAGGGAGTCGGATTGGTGGAGTAAGAGGATCCAATGAAATCCATTAAAATTTGCCATAATAAAATAAAATACTTGGGGCCATTTGAGATCACTTTTGTCTTTTTTTTTTTTTTGGTCTTTTAATTTTTCTAATTTTACTTTATTTATGTATAAAATAAATTTATGCTTGATATCTTAAATAAAATTCACCTTGGTTTTTGTTGAATATTTTATGTTGATTTATCATGTGATTTGAAAGGGGCGGTGGAGCGGGTGAACAAGACTAATATCATCAACTTCGGAGTGAAGTTAGTTGACGGTGAGAACAGAGTTGACTGGCAACAGATGTAGGACAAATCACCATGCTGCCCAAGCTCCAAAAATTTTTGTCCAAAATTTTAAAAACAAAAATTGAATACGGAACAGACCCATAAAAGATCTGACTTTGAAACAAAAATTTCTGTAAGATTTTTCAACCAGAACAATTGAAATAAATGTGAGCTAGGTCATTTGTAGAAGGTGAAAGCAAAGCAAACATCAGTAATATGCTTCTGGTTTTCAATTCTAATTTATAAAGTAAACCTTCCTCTAACATGAAATCAAGCTACGGAATGACAAAGTATGTGTGCAAATCTAAGAAAATTTAAAATCTCAAATGCGCCATTCATCAGGAAGTGTAATGAGGAAATTGTTCTTTAAAATGGACAATATAATAACACTACAAACCAAGAATCAATTTCATATGTATTTGTTGCAAAGAAGTTACAAATTTTTAAATAAAATAAATGAAGCTTAAACTCTGTTTCTGCACGAAATTTAGCTAAAATAACGATCAACAATCTAACAGTTAACTCATTTGCAAAATCTTAAAACAGTTCAATTAATAATATTACCACTATATGAAAGTCAAACAAGGTAGAAAGTTGGGATTTAGGTTGACAATGCGGGAGAAGCAATCGGACACTACCGCAAAAGAAAATTTGGGTTTCATTTATTTTCCTTATGATGAAATCATGGTTTCTTTTGATTGGTTCTACCTACAGCTAGTTGAACTTCCATAACTTGGTGCCTTGAGCATTAATTTTAGAGAAACCCCCCTAAAATTTTAGAGAAACCCCCCTAAAGTAGGTCCAACATAGAATCACTACAATGAAAAGGAGTTTTTTGCAGAAGAGTATTCAAAATGGGATAAAAGATTAACACTAAGAATATTCTTATACATTGAAGTTCAATAAGGAACAGAGTCTTATGCAAATCGACTAGTAGAAATAATAAGTATTGTAAAAAGTTTCATTACATTTTATTTATCAAAAGAACAAGAGTAAGATGGCCACTAGATCACTTTAAGCCTAAGAGGCGTAGCTGTTTGCCTGCTATGTCTCAAAAATACTGCAAAACGTGCAAACTTATTTGGATGAAAAAAACTGGACATTTTTCTCTCACGTTTTCCCTTTTTAAAAATAGATAAAGCTGACTCCAAATAGTTATCATAAGGCTAATGATGATGATAGCGAGTCAACAATGAGACAAAAATTGATAACCATAAAACAATTTTGATAAAGAACCGACGAAAATTAATAGAAAGCGTAAATCCACACAACAACCTCTTAAACTTCTGATTTTCACATTCCTTCAAATTCACCCCAACTTTATGTTTTACTTCCCATAAGCTATTATATAATTAAATGAAAGCAACGGAGCAAATCCAAAACCAAAGAACATGAAAATGGAGAACAAAATTACTCACCTCAACAATGATATTAAACTGTGATTGTATCATGTCAACAACTTTTTTTGAGCGAGATCTGCAAATATTGCAAAGTGAGTCAGAAAGAATTGATCTAGTGCTAGATAAGAAAGTATTCAGCTTGTAAGGTGTTATTGGTTTTTTTCTCCTGTAACAACCTATTTTATATTATGATGAATATGAAACTAAACCAATTTATTTACTAAATCACTCTCAAAACAGCACAAGCATATGAGACACAAGAATAAGCCATGTCAAAATCCACATTTAAGCAATTTAAAAAGTACATAAACAAAATCTCATTAGTTAAAAGTCATCAAAAATGAAAAATGCATGACTGCAGTTTCTTCCTAACTATGAGTAAAAGGGGTAGTGCTAAAAGCTAGTCGGTTCATAAAATCACGGGATTTATGTGATGAAGTTGATTTATAATGCAGTTCTAAGAAGTTGAAAATTTGATAGTATTGTCCCGCACTTTCTGTGTTATACCTAGAGATTAGTCTAAAAATATATTTTGGACTTGAAGAAAAAAAGTGATTTCTTAATTTTGTTCCCACAAATTCATAGTACAACTTTAATTCGAGCGTTTGCATGGGATTATTTTTAAAGAATGGTCTAGTTTATCCTTAAAAAAGGTAAAAGTTGATTTGGCAGCAAAGATATCCTAGTAACACCCAGTTTTGAGAAATCAAGTGAAATTTTTGGTAATTTTAAAATAACTCAAATTTCACATCCCCGAATTTTGATCAATTCAATTTTATAAAATTCAACACGTTGAATAAATCAATTTAATATATATCACTATATATGAATTATAAATACTATGGGAGATTAAAAAATAATAAGATATTAATTTGATTAAACTAATTAAACTGTTAATTAATCATTAATCTTCGGATCACTGTTCCCAGTCAACCGTTGTTTGTTCAGCACTTGGTCGCACATGCAATGGTTGGATAGGATCAAATGATAGGGATTTGTTGAATCTATGCTTATGTGTTGCATTCCCTTCATTTTTCCTCCTTCACTTCAAATCCGCGAGTTTGACCAGTCCTGGGATCACGGGACTGTGTAGATGGGGTGAGGGGGTGGAATGGGAGCCAAAGCTCATTGTTGGGGGTTCCAAAGAGAAAATGAAAGGTAGGAAGCTCTCTTGTATGATATTTCGGACATTCCTTTCCTTACCAACTTTTCTGTTTCGACATTTGCTATGAATTGAAGCATTCTATGTGTTCCTTATTGTTGGAGCTTTACAAAAAAAACCACCAAACTGTCGAACCGTAAAATACGCTCTCTAATAGGCCCATTTCACAAGTATGGTATGAAATATGAGGTATCCATTGATCATCTGAATTAAAAATACATTTTCACACAAAAAAGAATTGAATCTAAGACTTCGTTTGGGGGATCTTTCAGAAAAAAGCTCCTTTCAAAGTAACTTTGAAATAAATAGGATATAAAATAATAGTTGCAAAAGTCAATATTATCGTTTGAATTTGGAACTTCTATGGTTTTTTAACACTATTAGTTATAACATTTTAATATAAAAGACTATAAAAATCTAAATAATTTTAAATTATAATCTTCATTATGAAACTCATGACTTATTTACAGAATCTTATACGGCTTCCAATAGGCGACACTCAACGTGATTTATGTCTTTCACGTTGGAATATTCAACTTCTACATAAAAAAATCTAACAGGTTAATAAACATCTAAATCAAATTTAATAAATTCTATAACGAATAAAATTAAATATTCTAATAACATAAAATCTACTGTAACATCTCTCGCATTCACTCCAATGGAAAATCCCTATGCAGAACCCTCATTCAGATTGCTTTAAATCCATTGGAAAGTTTCTCAGTTTTTCTTTTCCCAGTGAGATCGCTGTCATAAATGGGCTCTAAAAGCTTTCTCCCATAGCGAAAGAAAAAAAATTGAATCGTTGGACGATATCGCCAACTGCAAGGATCTAGTTGTTGCTTGGTTTGAGATCCTAAAGGCATCCTTCGCTTTTGTTGTCAAAGAAGTCTTCTGCATAGCCGGAGGAGAAGACACCAGTTGAGTGTAATATGGCTTTTCTATTTCCGAAATAGCCAAACCAACGTCTAAAACAAAGAAACGAAGGTTGAACTTCGCAATCCCAAAAAAATAAAAAATGACGTATTGGTAGAAAGGCTTTTTTAGAAAATTGATCAGTCAAACGAACGACGAGTGTTCTCTCGACAATCATTATGATGAAACAAAGGCAAAACGTTCGCTCAGACAGGCCATAAGATGAGATGGCTAGGGCTTATCAAAGGATATGATCTGGATATATAGCCTTGGCTGAGTAAGCATAGCTTTTAATGCTTTGAGCCATAAAACCACATGTAGTGCAAACTGAATTATTACTCATTAACTAAACTTGATTAAAGAAATTGATTACTTACAGTTGGGAATCAAAAGACCAAGAGATTGTGAGTACTTACATCAGTTGACCTTGCAAACAACTCTAATAGACATGATTAACACAACTCAGAGTGTTAACAGTCAATATTTGAAACTCCTAAAACAACTTCAAACAGGAAAGAGTTTGGATACGACTATTGATGAAAATAGTGTTATCAAAAACAAGTTGCAGTTGCGATTACCAACTACCTACTGATTCTGATTTGAGACAGAAAATCCTAGGCTCATAGTTCAAGGTACACAGTTCATCAAGCTTGCACTAAAATGTACAAAGATTTGAAGTGATGTTCTGGTAGCCAGATATGAAGAAGGATATTATTAAATGTGTCAAAATGTCAAGCTTGTCAGATTGCAAAGGATGAGCTTCAAAAACCTAACGAACAGTTATAATCATTGTCTACACCTGAATGGAAATGACAAAAAATTGCTATAGAATTTGCTATGGGATTTCCCCGATCGAGACACGATCACGACACTATTGGGTCATTATTGATAGGTTACCAAAGTAAGTTCATTTCTTGCCAATCATGCAAACATATTCAGTTGAAAAGTTGTTCAAATTGTATGTCAAGAAAATTATTAGATTGCACAATGTTTTAAAAAATTATAGTTTCACAAATAGATAGAAGATTCACATCCAGGTTGTGGAAAGATATTTAGGGAGGTTTGGGTACGCATGTGCATTTTAGTGTGGCATTCCATCCACAAACTGACATAAAATTACAAAGGATAATTCGGGTATTAGAGATCTGCTGAGGCTTTGTGTTCTCAACTTTAGAGGTAGTTAGGAATATCGCATTCCAATGAATAAATTTGCCAATAATAATAATTACCAGTCCAATATAAAAATGGCTCCCTAAGAAGCTTTGTATGGCAGGAAATGCATAACTCAATTAAGTTGGTTTGAAGTAAGTGAACTTCAAATATTAAGTCTCAAATTAGTTGATAAAACCACACAAAAAATATGTTAATCAGAGACAAATTGAAGGTTGCTCAGGATCGACAACAAAAGTATTATAATCCAAGGCATAGAATAGTAAAGTTGGAAGTTAGTGAATTTGTATCTTAAAAGTCAAACCAATGAAAATTTTAGTCAGATTTGGTCAGGGAATCAAATTGAGCCCTAGGTATACTGATCCTTTTGAAATTATAGAAAGGAGTAGTCCAACTGCTTACAAACTAGCTTTACTAGCTAAGAAGTTAAACATCCATGATGTAATTTATATTTCAATGTTGAAGAAATGTGTTTCAAATCCAAACCAAAGGATTTCACACGAAGACACGCACGCATAAAAAAATTTAACTTACATTTAAGAGCCTGAAAGAATTTTAAAAACAGGTGTCAAGAAATTGAGGAATAGACAATTTTTTTTCCAAGATAAAATGTACATACCTATCTAAAAAGAAGCTACATGAGAAAAAAAAACAAAAATTGAGATATAAAAAATCTCTTTCTGTTCAACTAAATTCAGAAATTTCAATGATGAAATTTTTATAAGTAGGCGAGAGCTGTAACACCCAATTTTGAGAAATCAAATGAAAATTTTGGCAATTTAGAATGTACCGCAAATTTCACAATCCCCGAAATTTGATCAAGTCAATTATATAAAATTCTACACTATGAATCAGTCAATTCGACATACAGCACTATATATGAATTATAAATACAATGGAAGATATAAAAATAATAAGATATTGATTTAATAAAACTAGATAAACTCTTAATTAATCCATAATTTTTTACCATTATCCCCGGCCGACCTTTGATCCTCACTTAGTCACACATGCAGTGATCGATAGGGTTGAACAATTGGGATTGGTTGGATCTTTTTTTATGTGCCGCATTCCCTTCATTTTTTTTTCCTCAGTCACTTCAAATCTACACACCTGACAAGTTCAACATTCATGGGACTGTAGCTGAGGGGGTGAGCGGCAGTTCTAGGAGTAGAAGCTCACTGTTGGGGGTTCTAGGGATAAAACGAAAGGTAGGAAACCCACTTTTATGATATTCGGGACATTAATTTCCTTCCTCACATTTTCATTTGGACATTTGCTAGAAATTGAAGCATTCCATATGTTCCTTATTGTTGTAGCTTTGCAGGAACAACCATGGGATTGTCAAATCATGAGATAAGCTCTCTGATAAATCCATTTTAAGAGTTGTAGGGAAGACTTAAGAGGAAATGAAAAAAAGATGATGGAATAGAAAAGTATCGATAAGATATTTATGTTGAAAAGCTCTTTTGAGACAAATTAAAGCAATTAATCATATTTGCGATCAAATTAATATCTCAATTGTGAATTTCATGAATTTTAAGGTTATTACGAATTCCAATTCGTTTACACCGGGCAGTGAGCTCGAGCAAGCTTGAAGCTCGACGTAAGATTGGTTTGTCGATTCAGGTGAAATAATCATGTGCTAACTTAAGCAAAATAACTCTGCAGGTTTTCATATGATTATGTTTTATACAATTGCATTTAAGATTTTCTACATATTGTGGTTGAATACATGCATAGACTATATGAATGCAAACTTGATTTATCTCTTACAATACCTATGATTTTATTATGTTATGAATCTGATGAATATGTTGATGAAATCATTATTTGCATGTATTTGTTTAGTATGTTGCATGCATATGATATATGAAATGTTTATGATGAATTTTTTTTATAGAAAATATGCTTTAAGAAATGTCACAGGTGATACTATAGATAGACTATGACATGTGCTTGAAAGTACATATATTAGGGAGCAATTGGATTATGAACTCTTAGTATCAGACGGGTACGAAACTCCAAGAGCCGTTGGGATTTGATGGAGATGAAATGCATAGAATCGTTAGTACCAGAGGAGTTATTGATAATTGTTATGTTAACATTTATCAATAATTAATGTAACATTCAAGCTGGGAATCAATATATTTGAAGCTAAACACTCACCCAATAGTACTAAAATTTTAATTGAATCAAAATCAATATCGATTTGCTTAGACTATAGGATGTGTCACTTGAAATTAGTTTGATCCAACTCCTAATCAATACAATAAATGAATAAATATGCATGTATTTTCATGCATAATATATGCATATATACATAATCATATCATATTTAGAATTTTAGAAAATAAATTTTAAAACTAAGTGACTTGGCTTAAATGACATAAAAAATCAATTTGATATCTGTCATAATGATGATACATCAAGTTCCTCATTTCTGTATCAGTAACATGTAAAGTGAGAAGAGTCAGAATCCTAAACGAGATTAATCTTTTGGCATCTTAAACAATAGAGGCTAAAATATTTCCTTGTCCGGAGCTCTTAGACTTAGTAACCCAATTAAATTAAAAAAGCTGAAATGGAATTGACCACAAAACATCAGCAAAATGAGCACAACTACGCCTGAACAAATAACGCTAACCAGTGCCCTAAGCATGCCATTTAAGAAATAAATGCCGCCGCTTATGAAGAATAAACCAATAAAAAATCTTTCAAATTACTTGATAGAGAGAATCTGCAAAAATTGCTCATAAAAAAAATTTGGGGCTCTTTATTTTCACTCCACATGCATAGTTAATTAGGAATCTTTTAAACACATTGCACAACAGATGCTAAGGTTGAAGTTTGATTTTTTTAATTTTCTTAGATAAAAGTAAAATCAGAATACATAGATTGCAATTTTCAATAAGGAATAACTATGAGATGTAAAATTACATAATAAAATAATTCTATCCATTTGTTGTAAATTTTTAATAGTGAAATTGCAATAGATTGTAATAATTAACGTTTACATAAATGCAAAAAGCAAACACCGTGAAATAAACCTTTAAAAAATTAACAACACCAATAAAATGTAAACCATACTTAGTGTGAGCTATATCAGTTAGGAATAAATACTGAACATTCAAATTGTGCCAACTTATTATGGAACACAAATGTTTCAGGGAAAGAAAAAGGAAGCCTTTTTTATCATCTCACAACGATAGGTTTTAAAATACAGCTAAATCGGATAGAAAATCTTAACACTCAAGCCAATTATGAAGCTAAACGAACCATACCCATCAACAAAATAATGTGACTTAAATAAAAAACAAACAGAAAATTAATAACTGAGATTAGATAACAAAGAACAATTTTTTTTTCAAACATGTGTGGAAATGTGATAAATCAATAAAATATATGTTTTCAGGTGAAGTCAATTCATCAACTTAGCTTTCTGTTCTCACCCAAAACGTTCTCGATCATCCAAAATCAGGATGAGATCATAAATTTCATCAAATTTCTTTCCAATCATGCTCGGGGGCATGGCGAGAGAATTTACATCTCCTTTCCCAGCACCAGCTTGATATGATTTGTGCAAAGTTAGATCCTTGGAACATTGAAGAAAAGTTGATATCAGATGTTGAATTAACAGAAACAAATAAACCATGGGTTGAATATGTAATGTGTAACATTTTATTATGATTAAACTTTTTCTTCTTTTCTGGGGCATGGAAACATACATATGATGCACAAGCCCTTGGATAGAAGCTGCCTGGAGCTGCACCGATAAAATTTGAACTAGGCTGATTGGAAGCACTAAAAGAACCAAAATCTCGGCCATTATCTAGAAATAATAAAAAGGAGGTTTTAAATTTTAATATTTAAAAAAGTTACTTTCAGCTTATGACCAAGCATTTGTAACTATTTACGCTTCAAGACTAGGAAGAACATGCATACCTATATTCAAAGAAGTGCAACAAGTTGATGTAGCGGAAGAATCGTTTGCAATATTTTTACTAGAATCAAAAGATTCAAGTGACGGACTTTGGGAATTCTGCAAAATGGTCACATGTATTGATGAGAAAAAAAATTTATGTCCTTGCGAGAGTAATGATTTGTCTTGAAAAAAGAACTCATCCAACTCAAAAATACTGAATTCGTTATGCTTTCAATTAGATGCATATTTACACTCAACTTCAACTCATGTTACCTTTGGCTTGCCCCATTTCAACCCCATGCCTCAGATATGTACTCTATAAATTTCTCTTGTTCGCCATTCTACAAGCTAAAAGCATCAACGTATTAATCATCCTATTTTCATTAGGCCTTAATCATCCTACCTCGCTAATACAACCATTTAATATTATATTTTTCCTAATTTTATTACAAATGCATATTAACATTGCCTTTTTTTGCCCAAATATTTTTGTTTATTAATATTTACTTCATTAATACTTTCTCACAATTTACCACACCTCAAGCATAATTAGGTAAATGAATCGTGAAAATATTAATGACTGCTAAAAAAATCAAATCAGCCTTTAGCTTGGAATTAGCTCAAGCGCAAAATGATCAATGAATTTTCAAGGCTAGTTTGTTTTGAGGTAGGTGTTGATCAGATCTAACTTTTTAGGATAAAATTAATGTTAAGTACGCATGTATATGCATATGTATGTACAGTATATATATATATATATATATGCGCACATGATAACCACAAATGACTCCAAAATGATAAAATAAATAAAAGCACATAAGAGGCTGTCGGCGATAAAAAGTTGGAGGGTGTTGCCCGTGAGAATTTCGGTCATCGGAATCGAAATCTCGTCACCCGCTTCGGAAGGACGTTTTAATTTACATATAAATTTAAGTTTAGATAAATATGAAATCACACTGACCACATAATTTTCACAGTTTAAATGAAAGAGTACTCTACCTCAAACCATGTATCTATCCCGATGGATAAACACAAAACTTGAGGATGAGGTTCGATCAAATAAACTTAGAAATATATGACGTCCGTTTGGTCTGCGAAACCGTTTTATTTGCCGACAAATTTCTCTATTTAATATGAAAAATTAAATATAGTTTATTTTAAGCTGGGTTCGGAAAAACTTCCTATAAGGGCAAGCCCCTATAGTTAATTACATCTTAAATGACCGAAGTCACTAAAGAATGCTCTCGATAAAAATAAGGAAAAATTATCTTCAAAGACTTCAAAAGAATGAGACTTTTCAACGAGATCGGACAAAGAGGTGTGAAAGGGGAATGGTTGAATTTTGGAACATTTATTGTAGAATCAAAAGGAGGAAGAGGGAAAACTAAGGGATGTCACAGACCCGAAGGAGAACCTCGGTGATTTCCCAGTCTACCATATGGTTTGGCTTCAGTTTCGAGGAGAAATTATTCAAGTATTTTATCATGTCAATTTTATCTATGTCAATTTTATCTATTTAGGGTTTATATTCGTGTGAAACGATCACACGAATAGCATGGAAGATGTTAGGATTTAGGTCATCGACAACCTCGGAATCCTAAAACGAGTTAGGGCTTAGATTGCCAAGTAGAACTGTACAAATGTCTAACGAAAAGTTTGAGGATTTATGTTGCGCTATGCGAACAACCTCGAAATCCTATGAATTGTTGTTTTAATTTCTAATAAAGGAATGGTTTAGCTGGGGAAGACATGTTCTGTTGTTGAAGATGGTCTTGCTGCCCTCCGCGCTAGTTCCAAGCTCTTTGTCGTGACGAGTTTAAGTTTTCTAGGGTGTCAGGTTATAATGTCAAATCCAACGGCCCTATGGTTATAGTTCTTCAGATATTTTATAGGGAACATCTTGAAGTACAACATGCGGTGTAAAGAAAAGTAAAAGATACAACAGGGAAGTGATTATAAGAGAATAACACGCTGTAAACACAAAACAAACCTGTATACCTGGGAGATCCGTTGTTCCTTATGTGTAATTGATGCAACAGGTACAAGCAACAAAACTTGAGGAAGCAGGCTGAAATGCTTTAAAGAAATATCGTCCAGAAATCTCGAGAAAGATCGTCAAAAAACTCACGACAAGAGAAATGCGAGGAAATCGATAAAAATTGCAGAAAACACGGGAAAATCCCAAAAAGAGACCACAAGTGCTTTGTCCAAAAATTCCAAGAAAAACATATGAGAAAGTTCGAAAAGAGGGGGACCGCAAGCACTCGGGTCGGGGCTAGGCTCAACTATATATTAGTACTCGAGGGTCGTCGAAGGCTACTCGGTCACCCGAATGTATAAAGCCCGTCACTCAATTAGAATGGTGTCCTATCGAACCTAACTCAGGAGGGTGCTCCTTAGCATAAATAAATGATCAACAGGTGGGCAACCAATGCTTAAAATGTATTTAAAATTTATATTTTCAGCATGCACATAGGTTTCAAACATGCAAAAAGTGGGTTGTATCAATTTTGTTTGTAGCGAAAAATGTATTTTTATATTTAAAAAAATGTGTATTTGTTCTTATCAAATTTATTTTTATCAACTTTGAAAATTAGTTGTCCACGAGTCGATCTCGCTGTCGGGCATAAGGCTACCAACAACCTAAGAATGTTCAGGTCAACTCCCGCTAGTCTTGTATTGGTGAATGATATTGTCATCCTACAGCTCACCGGGTTCCTGAATCGGATCCTGATGGGTTCCTGAATCGGATCCTGATGTCGTAGGATGACATATCATTCTGCTCTATCTCCGGTGTGCCTTTGTCATCACCGCCCTAAGCCCCACGACCTTGTTTGATGGTTTCATACATAGCAAAAGTTATATATGTGCACTTATGTATTTGGACATAAGCATCAAAAACCGAACCAAGAAACAAGGAAAAAAAAACAAAAATAGGGTGAGAGAGAGAAAGGACTGATTCACCTAAAAAATCGAAAATAACGAAGGACGAATCAGCTCTCAAAACTCGTGACGAAAAGACCTGAAAAAGCAAGATCTAAGATCCTTGAATCAATCCGAAAGGATATCATTTTCTCACATTTTCATAAATGAATCAACCCAAGTCAAAATGACCTCCTAACGCCGGTATCCAAACCCCAAAGATATCTTTTATGAAATCAATTCGTCTCAACCAAGTATTCTCCCGAAATAAAATTCGGAAATCTCCCAAACTTCACAATTTAAATGAAAGGAATATAACCTTGGGACGACGGCCACTTATACTTTCAAAAATCATGTCAAAATTAAAGTTATTCAATTCCAGACTTAATGAAAATCTCCTCGTATCAAATAAACATGAAATCCTCCGGCTAAAACCACATAGAAGCTCACGGTCGGGCTTCAACAAATAGATGAATGACAGCTAAGGCTCTCGGCCAAAGCAACCCACAAGGGAGGCAACTACTAAGGCTCACGGCTCAGGGCAGCAAGAAACAGCTGCTAAAGCCCACGACCAAAGGCAACCCAAGGAATAACAAGTAAGGCGCACGGCTAAGGCAACCAAACTAGCTACATAAGGATCTTTGATATACATAAGAGAGTGCAAAATATAATCATAATTTCAATCTACCTACAATCATCCAAGTAGTTCAAGCCCAACAAGAAAGACTAAATCACACCAAACAACCTCAAGTAGGTCTCGCGGGTAAGAACTGCAAGAGGAGCAAATCTCAATGGTGCGCTCACGGGTAAGACCAAAGGGGGAGGCTAACTCAACCACATCACAAACCCACGGCTAGGAACCAAGCAAATATCAAAACTACAGCCTTATAAACTTCCAAACCAATCCATCAAAACCAGCTAACAGTTCTCGAATAAGGACAACACAGAACGCCAAAACAGACTCTCGGGTAGGAGCTAAGGCCAACAAAAA